CTCAGAACTAGACCCTTGCATCTATGGTCAATTAATCTACGACAAAGGAGGCAAGAATATACAATGGAGAAAAGCTAGTCTTTTCAATAAGTGATGCTGGGAAAACTTGACAGCTACACATAAACGAATGAAATTAGAACACTATCTAACACCATACACAAAAGTACACTCAAAATGGATTAAAGACCTAAATGTAAGGCTGGACACTATAAAACTCTTAGAGGAAGACATAGGCAGAACACTCTTTGACATAAATCACAGCAGTATCTTTTTGGATCCACCTCTGAGAGTAATGAAAACAAAAATAAACAAATGGGACCTAATTAAACTTAAAAGCTTTTGCACAGCAAAGAAAACCATAAACAAAGTGAAAAGACAACACACAGAATGGGAGAAGATATTTGCAAATGGAGCAACCAGCAAAGGATTAATCTCCAAAATATACAAACAGCTCATGCAACTCTATATCAAAAAACCAAAAACCCAGTCAAAAAATGGACAGATGATCTAAATAGACATTTCCTCAAACAAGACATACAGTTGGCCAAAAAGCACATGAAAATATGCTCAACGTTGCTAATTATTAGAGAAATGCAAGTCAAACCTACAATGAGTTGTCACCTCACAATGGTCAGAATGGCCAACATCACAATATCTACAAACAGAAAATGCTGGAGAGGATGTGGAGAAAAGGGAACCCTCCTAGACTGTTGGTGGGAATGCAAATTGGTACAACTGTTATGGAGAACAGTATGGAGGTTCCTTAAAAAATGAAAAATAGAGCTGCCATATGAGCCAGCAATCCCACTCCTGTGTTTTTTCCAGAGAAAACCATAATTTGAAAAGATACATGAACCCCAATGTTCATTGCAGCACTATTTACAATAGCTAAGACATAGAAGCAACTAACTGTCCATTGACAGAGGAATGGATAAAGAAGATGTGATACATATATACAGTGGAATATTACTCAGCCATAAAAAAGAATGAAATAATGCCATTTGCAGCAACATGGATAGATCTAGAGATTATTATACTAAGTAAGACACTTAGAGAAGGACAAATATCTGTTGATATTACTTATACGTGGAATCTAAAAAAATACAAATGAAATTATTTACAAAACAGAAACAGACTCACAGATTTCAAAAACAAACTTATGGTTACCAAAAGGGAAACATGGTGGTGGTGGATAAATCAGGAGTTTGGGATTAACATATATACACACTACTATATATAAAACAGATAACCAGCAAGAACTCTACTTAATATTCTTAATAATTTATATGGGAAAAGAATCTGAAAAAGAATAAACGTATGTACATAACTGAATAACTTTGCTCTACACCTGAAACTAACGCAACATTGTAAATCAGCTTATAGTCCAATAAATTTTCTTTAAAAAAAGATGTTCTGAACCATGGTGCAAGGCTTATCCAGCTTGGAACAGTGCTGTCTGTGCCAGAGAGAAATTAGAATGGATGATTAGTGTTTCTGTGATTAACTGAAAGTGTTCACTGATTTGTTGATGAAAACATGTGTATGCTGCAATTATTAATACAGGATGATATAGTCTGAGGGACAGGTGTCCAAGGCTGTAGGCTAAGTCAGTAACCTATTTATTAGGAGATCTCTGTCACCCTTCACAATCAGCTTGTTCTGTGACCTTGGGCTACTTATTTGATCTGCCAAATCACGCTGTCCTACCTAGTAAATTGGAAATGATCTTCAAAGTTTTATGAAAAGGACTGTTTCCTAGGGATCACTGACTGAAGTGCTGGCTTTCCACTGATGTTCATGTGTATGAACGGGAGGTTAAATATTTCTAAGAACAAGGTCATGCTGCTATAGCTGAAGTTAGTATGATACATTGGGAGGTAATGGCCATAAAACCCAACAATGACTCAATAGAAGAATAAAGGCTGAAGTGTTTGAATTTGTGGTTACAATTTAGTTCATGAGCTTTAAACACCATGGACACCCATAGGTGTGGAGTGTGGTCGCGCATAGGTCGCTTGGTTGTAGATACTGATTCCCCAGGATGGAGAATCATTTATTGCACGGTAAACTTGCTTTGCCCTGAATCCAAACAACTATATGCTAAAATAATGATGTTGAGTTTGATCCTGAATATCTCATTTTGTGACAGACAGCACATGTGGTCAATGAGAGGAGGCCTAATTTCCAGAACCTTTCACATATTTCTCTGTAGACATATAGCTGTCCTGATGGCCACCTTGATGAACCTTAAGCAGCACAAAATACCAGAGTACCTTTGGAATCATTAAGAAAAGATGTTTCATATGCTTCTCCCGGAGTGTTAAATCTAGTTAATCACTCTCTAACTATGTAAATTGATGAAAGTTTGTTGTATCACTTAACATAGAGCTTCCAATTCAACTGGAACCAAACAGTAGGCTCTGCAGAGTATGGGAAGGAGAGTGTTCAGGTTTAGTTCAGGTGCCAGCTTTGCCATTACTGGCTGCTCAAGTAAATGAGCAAAGTACTCAGCCATTCTGTGCCTCTATTTCCTTATCAGTAATCTGGAGAAAATACAGTGTTTTAAATAGCACCTGTTCTACAGTAACCTCCCAAATGTTAGTTTCTTACTATTATTGTTGTTATAATAATAGTATTATTTAATTATATAATTACTATATAATTATAGCGTTTTCTGGTTTGCTTGGCACTTTTACATATATTTTCTCATTTGAGCCTAATGTAAGACAAATGTCATAAATAAGGAACATAAGGATAAAAACATGACTTTCCCATGGTCACAAAGCCAGTAAGTATTGCTCCTATGGCTAAATCTCCCAACTGAGAATCCATCCCTCTCACCACATTATGGCATCTCCTTCTTCAGCCATGCTGGATAAATGGAGGGCTGTTATAATATGGTGTTCTCTTCCTGGGGTTCCAGGTTAAGGTCAAGACACAGAGCGTTCTGGCTCCTGGGCTCAAGGGTCATTTTACTGACCTTAAGTTGTACACCAGCAACATTGTGTGTCTCTAAGCCCAGATTAAAAGAATCACATTTGATAAAGGTTTGCACGGATTACTGTGGTTTGTTTTACAACGGCCACATCTTTTATGATACCCTTCAAGTTCAGTGCCTTCCCCCAAATCATGCTAGTAAATAAAAGATGTGTCAGCAGAAGCAATGAGAGAAAAGTGAAACCTTTGGAGAAAAAATAATAACCATAATTTGTCACAAAGTCTCATTTAGGGATCCTGATTTCAGTGGGGTTTTGGTATCTTGTGACTTAAAGCACCCTCCTGTTAACACTGAGAAAACCCCCACAAGGATGCAAATAGTTCTGACATCTAGGCAAGTATGGATCTAAGCAATTGCGCTTTCCAGAATCTGGATCAAATTGTTGAAAGGTGAATGATCTAGCCCTATAGATTGCAAACATTAGAAAAGAGAGTTCTGTTAACGCCAGGTAGCACTTTTTGTAAAGAAATTAGGAATTTAAGAGAGCTATATAAACACTGTCCAGAGAGACAAATGCAAGGGAAATACAAGGCAAAGAGGGCTTGAAATATTCACCGCTCTTTCATAGAACCTGGCTTAACTCACGCTCGCTTCCTCAGCTCAAATCCTGTGGTTGCTCACTCGGATTTTAACAGTAGAATACACAGTAACTAAAGAAATTCAAGCTCAGATATCATCATCTATCTTAACTAAATTTTAATTCACAAAAATTGCTTTTTGTTGTTTATCTTCAATACTGCTTAAGAAAATAAGTATTTCTAGCTCATGAGAGCGATTCTGACATGGATTCAAAATATTAATCCATTTTTTTTCTCTTTTGGCCCCAGGAGCTGGGATGAAATCACATGATTTAATCATTCTGAATCCATGTGGCTCCTCAGAGATAGGGCCAGATGTAACCAGAAGGATTTATAGGGTGTAAAATTCAGAATGGATTAGGACAGCATTTCTGTGTTCAACCCAATACATCCTAAATCAACATTCCCTGGATGGACCAGAGCAATCTCTGGCTGGCCTAGTGGGGAGGTTGTCATGGCAACTGACTGGCAAGCTCAGCCCGTGGAATGTGAATGCAAACAATAGAGTGACAAGGCTGTGTACAGAGCAGCCTACTAAGGCTGCTTCTACCCAGGTACAGTGACATCAGTCGACGCGTGAAACTGTCACTGCATTTTTTTGTAACTTCTTGCACTTCTGGCAGCTTATTTGAAATTTATCGTGTCCTTTCCCAGATGTTGATAAAACATTGCTGCTGACAGGTAACAGAAGATATGGAAAAATCAGCACCAGTAGCTAGCTGCAATGGTATACAAAGCCCTGGAGGGCTGTTAGGCTAACACCACTCAAATTTCCTAAAGGAGGCTGAAGCACGCTTAGGGTAAATCCAATGATTCTTTAGTGCCACCTTATGTCCAGTTATATACGGGAAATTTACCAAAGGCCTACCCTCAAACGCTTTACTAGGCAGCAGTAGGACAGACATGGAAAAAGTTAGAGCTGCATTATGTTGGAGTTTGGGAGTCCCTTTCACAGCAGAATATGAACATGAAGTCTTCTAAGCCTCAAGTTAAAGAAAAAAATGGAAATTAATAATTTTGGTAGAATCTGAAATGAGGAAATCAAAAAAATAAATGCCAAATAACCCCAGACCTAGAAAAGATTAGAAGAGGCTGCATGCTGATCCAGGGGTTGTAGGAAGAGATGGCAGAGACAGACTGTGTCAAGGATTCTTCATGTCGTCCTTACTAACTTTTGCCAAGGCTTTTTTTTTTTTTTTTTTTGTCTAGACAAAAATAAGATGTGAACATCACTAATTCAACTTTATAATTCTTGTTAATGGATAGCAAGATGGTAGCATTTGTTCAAATGGCACCTCATCCTGCCTCTCATCTCCCACCCAAACCAAACCTACCAGCCACTGCCATCCTACCATCACCATGTCCCATTTAATTTCCACAGAAGTATGAAGTGACCAAGCTGTGTTTCTTTGTGTTTCTTCCAGGTTTTGAGTTTTTTGAAACAAGTGCCAAGGATAACGTTAATGTGAAGCAGACATTTGAGCGTCTCGTGGATATCATCTGCGACAAAATGTCCGAGAGTTTGGAGACAGATCCAGCCATCACTGCCGCAAAGCAGAACACGAGGCTCAGGGAAACCCCTCCTCCACCGCAGCCCAACTGTGGCTGTTAGTGTCCCGGTACAGGCAGCTCCAGAGGGGTTGGTTGCTAAAAGTAGCATTTATAAATGGTCAATTAGCCTTCATTTATACTGCCTAATAATTATTTGAGGGAAATCTTTGATGTCTGTGGCTCGAACATGCATTCAATTCCGGGGAGATTTCTGGTGTTAATAAGTGGCAAATATGTGATCTTAACTTTGTAAGGACTATCCATCTATAAACATCTGATGTTTGCATGTGATTTGTTATTTGTCTTCTAGGCTCTTTTTGTTTCAGGTTTCTTAGATTAAGCTACTGCTGGGACCTCTGATTATAATTTCAGTACAACTGTGTTTTGGGCTATGGGTTCAACTTATGCTCTTCACTTGTAGGGATGACAACCAAGAAATTGGTTGTGTGTGTGGTGTGAGCAGGGCGAGATCTCAGGAGGCCTTATTTGCTTTACTCTCAATCGAAAATCAAGTGGAAATGTTACTCATGCTTAGGGAGACTGTCATGGGTCTGGTTGGTTTGCTGTTCAGGAAAGGTATCTATTTTTCAGTGTTATTATAACTGAGAAGACCGTTGACTATAAAGAAATTGAAATATTGTTTAAGGCCCTTGCAAATTTACCAAGAGATTAATATTTACCTGACTGGAAGTAGATTTTAACAGTAGTCTTAGTTTAGATGTTTAAATAAGGAATACATAACCCAGGACTGCACCAGCCAACGTTCTGAATATTTGAGGGCACTGACAGACCGAGGTATCTGCTGAATGTGTTATGTAACAAGCGTCTTAACCAAGAAGGATATGAGTAGCAGTGGGATTCCAAGGCCTGAGCTCCCCCCGCCCCGTGACATATACTACCACGACTTTCTGGAACAATCACCAACTCTTGGAACAGAGGTTACGTTGAAGCTTGTTAGAGCCCCTCTTCCCATAGGATGTAGGCTTGCTTCCCCAAACATTGCCTTCTGCTCGCACCTCCCTAGGTTCTTTTACCTGGCTAGAAGTCAGTTAAACAGTATCTCCATGGCTCTCAGATTGAGGAAAAGACAATTATCATCTCTAATCTTTTTCAATCCAAGTATTTATACCTTTAAGGCATATCCCCATTCTGTAAGCCTTTAAACATGCTTAAGTTACTCAGAGACCTCTCTCTGGAGCTGAGAGTTACAGAAAAATCTTAGGGTGCCATAAGCAATTTGAGAGGAGAAAGGAAACCATTTGGACACCCAGATTCTTTCTCCTAGAGATTCTTTCTCCTGGATTTCCTGAGGACCATATATGATTAACAAGCAAACTAATCCCAGCAGCGATTCTAAGTGAGGACTGAAAAGAGACACAGCATCTGTATCACCACCCAGCATTGTTTACGGCTAGGACTTTAAGGCAGCAGGCACACATTGGCATATTTGGAAGGGCAGTTCCATTAAGTGAACTTTCCCCTTTTTTGGTGGTCATGTAAAAGCTTTTTTTCTCTTTTCAAAAACAGAGACACTTCCCATGAAAGTATTGAGCGCAAGATTCTTGAGCAAGGATATGGATAAGGAAAGA